TTTTTGCTTCATTGGCGCACTGAATTTGTGTTCGCAAGACTGTTAAAGCTGCAACTTTAGCCCATTTGCGACCATATTTTTTGCAATTGTTCATGACATTTTGAGTAGTTTTTTTATGTTACAAAGCGTCCTCACATTTCTGAGTCTCTGATACTACTGATTCAAAGGCAATGTGTGTTTCGGTCTTTTTAGAACCAACCGATCGATAAAGCAGAATCTATGCAGCATTTTCGTGTGAGAGCCTTAAGCAATATACGGACATGTCCAATAAGCATTTCATGTTCACTCAATGAAGCATTTTATTGTAGTATATTGAGTTGATCAATATTTGTGTAAATTTTGAGCGATCCGCAATGGACTCAAGCGGTTAAAACACTGTTGTTGGCTAATGAGTGGCTAGCTACCTATTGCATTTATGCGCGTGTATCATATCTGAATCACATTCGATGGTAAATAAAGCCTGCACTTTACCAATTGTAGTATTATATCAAGACTCGAATAGATGGCAGTCGTAGCATTGCCTGTCAACCGTATCAAGTAGCATTCTCCAGCTTCTCGGCGCAACTCAATAACGTCGTCCAGTGCCGCATTCGCTTCCATCTCCGCATAGTTCATTTACCAACATCCATCCCTGTTAGGAATCTGTTTTTGGTAAAATCAATCAGTTGCTGCCGCCGTTCGTTAACTGTATAAAATGCCAAACCTTTGTTTTCTTCTTGGACATTGTTGGCTTCATATAGCTTCTCCACCTCATCGATTATCATGCATTGTAACAAATGTTGTCCACGACTTCTGCTCTTTCATTCGCCGAGACTTCATCTCGTGGCGACCACAATTCTATTTTGTATGTCAAAGCTCCAGCCTTAGTGCGATGCGCTTGTCCAGCGTGAGTCAATCTCTGTAAGATAAACTTATCGTTTTGCTTCAAGTGCGATTGGGCTGATATCAGTAAGGAATTCCTCTGAAGCAAAAAGTACATCGTACAGAGTCAAAATGACGCGGTGATCTGGTATACCATATCAACTTTGGCATAAAGAGCATGTCGCTCCGGCAATGTCGTCGCTTCGCGCGTGTAAATCCTACACGAGGCAATTAACGCAGTTTTTTTTACATTGAAGTCCGAATGGTCTGCTATCGATACATCGAACATATCGCAACAGATCTTTTCAGAATTGACTGTACACGCAGCGAGTTATTGATAATTAAATAATATTACCTTCTAAATATTATCCATATAAATGAACACGAAAAAAGCACTATGCCGAAGTTGGCATTCTAGCCAACGGCACTGTTGCATGCGGGAAAGCTTCAATCTTCGGCATGTCCCGCACATGCACACACAAGCACGTATCCTTCATTCACGTTGAGCTATCTGAGCGTCAACATAAACGACTGTGATGGCAATGGAGAGCATGCTGCTGCCTCTCACCTTAAGCCAGATGACTCGAGCAAGACAACAACTTTCTGTGGCTACATGCTCCGGAAGCGCACCCCCGAGCAACTCAAGGCGAGACGCCCTGCCAAGCGGACCTGTCGAGTGCGATCCAGCGCCGAGGTTGGAGAGATCGACTGCATCGACAACCGTCGCTCAGTATCGGGTGATCTCGAGTACCATGTGACATGGATTGACGGGTCTGCGCCCATCTAGCTACCCCGGGACCAGTTGATAGAAGATGGCAACGCCAACTTGATCGAGGTTCTCGACTCCTATTTTAATTGCTACCCTGGACGGGAGATTTCATACCAAGAATTTGTCAGCCGCAACGCCCACGCATACATAGCCATCACCGATAACGACGACAACTCCTGCGTAGCCCATGCTCTCCAGACAGCGATAGAGCTTCTAGGATACCACGAGCAAAGCACCATGCTCCCAG